TGGCAGAAGCAGGCTTGGGGAAGAGGGCCCGGGTGGAAGGCACACCGAAGGGTCAGCTGCACGGAGATTGCCACGTCTGGCTTCCACACAAGAGCTGTGGCCATGTGACTTTCGACCTGACGCAGCAGGGAAAAGCTTACTATTCCAGGGCAGCAGACACGGCTCTTCTACTCCTGGAAGGCTCTGGGAAGAGAGCTGCCCACAGCACAGCTGCTGCAGTCACCCTCCCTGGAGAGACGGAGCCCAGGACACATTGTCTATAAAGGGGCATTTTAACCTGGGGTCCCAAGAATGGCTTTGGGGGACTAGAGCATCTAACCCCTTGAAATCAAAGATGAGCGAGCATGTGTGCATGTCCCCCCTGGGAGAGGTCCCACAGCCTTACCCGACTGTCCAAGGGGTCAATAATCTAATAGGACTAAGACACCCAGAACCCACGGCTGACAGGCCAGGCCCACAGGACCAAGTAAAGCCCCCCTGCGAAGGTGAGAACCAGGACGCGCTGGGGACCCACCTGCTGCCTTTCTAACAGCAAAGGAGGCCACTGCTCCTGCACTGTCCCTGGCTTTCAGGCTGTATGATGGGGATGCTTTTTTTTAAATCCTCACCCGAGGATTTTTTTTTTTCCATTGCTTTTCAGACAGGGAGGGAGGGAGAGAGGAAGGGAGGGAAACATTGATGTGAAAGAGACATATCAACTGGTTGCCTCCTGCACATGCCCCAACCGGGACCGGGGATCAAGCCTGCAACCCAGGTATATGCCCTTGGTCGGAATCGAACCCGGGACCCTTCAGCCCGTGGGCCAATGTTCTAGCCACTGAGCCTAACCGGCTGGGGCTGATGGGGATACTTTTAAAATTAAAATGACAACACTGAGAACAAGTCACTAGAGAGGTGGTAGCCTCTGCAAGCAAAGCCACCATTAAAGCCTAACCCATTTTTTAAGTCACTACATGACATGGCTGCTGAAAAAGATGGGGAGTTCCGGGAAAAGGAAGGAACAGAAGCATTAACATAAACCTCGAGCCTGCAGAGCAGCGTTCAGTTTAAAGACAGACGCAGTCATTTGTTCAATGAATATCTGAGATTCCCACGGTCAAGGCGCTGTGCTCGATGCTGAAATCCTAAAACTAAATTCAAACCTCCTCCCGTTTTTGGTAGAATGCATCACCTTCCCTGTAGCTGCTCCCCCTACCGCAGTTACAGGGTGAGTTTACTGGAAAGATTCTGAAACCAGGCGTAAAGAGGCCGGGGAAGGGGGAGACCTAATCAACACTGCTGTTTAGAGTTCACACACTTACCTGAGAAGAGTCGAGAAGAAAGGCCTTCTTGATGTGGAATTCACATTTAAGAAGTATAAAGATAATCCTTGAAAGCACAGCAACACTAGGCTAAGACGTATTTGTCCTTGACAACGTTTCCACCCTTATCGACTGCGCAGCCCACGTGAAAACACTGAGGTTCTACGTTAGACAGCAAAACGTACTCCCCAGGGAGACGGCTAACAAGCAGGTCGCAGGTGCTGGGAACCAGCCGGAGTGTTTGCTGGAAGGAGGTGGCTCTAAGCACTTTCCCGAGGGAACACAGGCCCGGGGCTGAGCCCGCCCCGCCCCCGCCCCCCTGCCTGAGCGCCGCCACGACCCACACTCACTGGAGCATGATCTCCAGCCTCTTGCTGTAAACGTGCATCTCCAGCTTCTTAGAGACCTTCTGAACCGCACCTGGAAGCAAAGCCGCAGAGTTCAGTGTCCAAACTCCTCGGAAGAACTTCCAATCGATAATCAGGAGTCACTGAGGAGCCCAGGTGGTGACTGCGGAATCCTTCAAGTGGCAAACGTACACCTGTCCCCGCTGCTGCGGCAAACTGGTATTTTCACTTCACTCAGAACAAATCCAAATGCTTACCAGCGGCTCGGGAATTTAGATCTGTGTAGGTATTTATTTGTTGTAATATAGACTTAGTTGGTTACAAGAAAACAGCTCCTGAGGCAGTCAGCTAAACCTCCTTTTCTACCGAAATCAAAGAACTGCTCCTTGCTTATTTTTTTCACTTTTAGATGGAAAAGTTCTCTCCGGAGAAGGAGACCCGCTGCTGTGCGGAAGGCAAGGGCTGGGGGCGCCAGGGTACATCCGGGTGGCCTCTTCCCCAGCAGCAAACAGGGCTGCCTCACATGCCAGTGACGCACACCCACCGTAAGACATGTGATGCTGAATTATGTATAAAATAAAGCCCACTGTAAAGACACAACACCAAGATGTCTTCACTGTGTTTTCTTTGGTTGAAAACACTCCTTAGTAAACCATAGGGGGGCTCTATTCTACGCAACACGTTTCTACCAAACACGAACACGGCAGCGTAGTTCCGACAGACGTGCTGGTTAGCGGCAGCAATACTGCGAAACTTCTGGTTAAGTTGCTCTTAAAAGGACTAAGAGATTTTGTCTTAGTGTTAACTGCGAGCAGATTTTTACAGCACAAAGACCCAGGTCACATACGTAAAACGTTAGCGACACGACTGTCGAGCATGCACTGAGTGTCTCAAAGGTTGTCGGGTGAAAGGGATTAGACTTCAAGCACCTGAGGATTCTGCTGTCTACGGGGGATGCAAAAGAATTAATAGAACGAAATGCGCGACAAACGAAGAGGGGATAACTCTGTACCTTTCCTTATTTTCGGGTTTGACTGCACTTCCAGGATCACGGTTGTGACGGTGTCCGCATACATGTCGTTGGAAGGGTTTGCCAACCACTGTAAGGCAAAGGCAGGGTGAGGAAGGTGGGTGGCAACTACGGCCACCCACCTGTGGACGGCACACACTCGGCCAGTTTCTAGCACTTTCCCTAAAAAGAACTGTTTACTGAAGTTAATTACCGATGCTGGGCTCCTCTAATTTACTTTTAATTACAACAGGAAAGGACAGTGAGCACTTCCTTGGTGGCCAGTGTTTCAGATGCTTCATCTGAGTCACTTCTCCTGACACCTTCATTTTATAGAGGAAACGGACCCATAAGTAACTTGCACAAAGCAACACGAGCAGTCACTGCTGGTCCTGGGACTCCAACTCTAATTCCTAACCACTGTGTTTCAGTAGCACAGACAGGACAGTAAGCATATTTTTAAACATTTCCTGTTTCTCACATGAAGCCCAAGGTGCCTGACACTCTCATGCGCCCGGTGCTCCACGCAAGCTCCGTGTCCACCGGGTGGGCTGAGACCGGGCGAGTTACTGCAGGAGCCAGAGCCCTCGCCATTTGTACCCACTCAGCAGAGAGGATGTTTACAGGCAACAGGAGGCACTAGAACAACCTTCTCCCAGGTCTGACATGTTCAATCAGTGTCTGCAATACTTTTCCTCTTTCTCCGATACTCATATTTTGTGTATTATTTTAAGTAACTTACCATTCCCTGCCAAACTGCAGGTGCTCAATAAACAGCTCCTCCCTTTGATACTTTCTTTAGTTATTTTTAGCTTATTAATCAATTTTAGACTTAAATTACAGACCTGCAGGGACCAGAGCTGACAGATCTTTCTTTGTTTTAAAATAATATGTAAAAACAAAACAGCTGACCTTATAGCTGGAAAATTTGCATTCAATTTACCTACAACCTTGCGGCAGAGAAAGACAAAGTCCCTCCTTGGGACACTCAGTTCCAGGATTAATTCTGAAAAGTTCTTCTTTTGACTTAACAGATGCCAACCTATCAAAGTCAACCTTCAACTTCATTTGGTGCCTGGGTTCCAGATTCTGCTAGTAGGAATTTAAAATTTACCTAAATGAACCATCTCTTGCCTCTGGATTCGGGTTGTTAATGTTGCTTATTTGTGTCTCCCAAGCCCTTCTCTTGGAAGTGCTGTGTGGCAAGTCTGTTCTAATATAACAGCACGAGATTTTTATCCTGAGAATTTTAAGACCTTTTGATATAACTGAAGACATCCTGGGATCCGCAGAACCAGCTCAGACTTAATCACGAGAGGTCTCCACTCCCTACACACAGTAGATATCCAGCCTTAATTTGCTGCTAGTTTCTGTGTTACACAGAAAATGCCTAAGTTACATTTAAAGCTGATCTTAGAAAGAAAGCTACATTCGCCAATAATCTTTTTCCCCAACTGGGAAGAAGCTAATTTTCTCTATAATTACGTGTGAGCTCCTCTCAATTGAATTTACTGGTTAATAAAACTATAGGTTTCAGGTGTAAGATTCTAGATTCATCCTCTGTATATTGTACTGTGTGTTCAGCACCCCAGTCAGGTCTCCGCTGTGAACCCTAAGCCTCTTCCTCCCGGTTCAGGTCAACAGTCTCATCTTACTTCTAGCACCACCATCCCTGGCTCCTGTAGTACGGTGATATTTTTGAACACTTTCAAAGCTGGCTTTTCTTGAATTTCTAATTCTTCTACGTCACCTGAAAGAAAGAATTATAAGACATAATAATTTTCTGAGAGTCTCCCAGAGGCACAGCTATTCATTTGTTTATAGAGACAGCAGAAATAAAGCTGATACACAATAAAAAAATTAGTAACTCATTCATATAGTTAGATGTAAACAGCTACGTAGGTTTTATATTAATTGCTTAGAGTAATGGGAAGATCTCAACATGTATTATAAAAATCCACATGACCAGAATGGATTTACCTTGGACATTAATATTGTATCAACAGCAGCTCTGGTGACTGTCAAGCATCTGTGTTTGTAGAAAGATTAGCCACCAGCATCGTAACACTGAACATGAGACTCGTCAACTACGAACAGTCACTTTGACTTCTGTCTTCATAGGGTTGCTCAGCCCACAGGGCAGTTCTACTGTCTAAGACGAGACTCTCCTGGTTTTCTCTGTAACCTCTAATTAAGATTCAGACATACAGTGGTACCTCGGTTTTCGAATGTACTTTGTTCCAGAGACTGTTCAAGTTCTGAAACGTTCGAGAACCGATCAATCCACAGCCGACAGCTGGGCCTCAGGATCTTGCCCTCAGCAGAAGCCGTGTGGCCTGTTCGACTTCTGAGGCGTGTTCGAAAACCGAGGCATTGACTGCCGGGTTTAATGGCATTCATAACCCGAAATGTTTGTCCACAGAGACGTTCAAAGACCGAGGTACCATTGTATCTGTTCACTTTCTATGTTACGACCTGTCGTTCTAATGTGAGATAGGTTCTGAGGTGAAAAAGGAGATTCTTCCCACTGGTTTACGTCACAGTCGCACTCTACCCCATGAACTATGAGGAACACATTAAGCGACAGGGTAACTTGTAGTCAGTCTCTCTCTTTTCCCTTAGTCACGGCGCCTCGCTGTTCACACGGGGCCCTAACCCTCGCTGGCCTGACCGGAAAACGGAAGGTTCCCTTCCAGTGCCTTTGGCCCGCGGGCACGTGCTGCTATAAAACCTGCTGTGCACATGGTTCTAATGGAACCAGAAAGATTTCCACTGAACGCGGAAAAGAAATAGATGAAATCTGGGTAGGTAAACAAAGTGCACTTTAAACACTAAGAGCAAAGACTACTGACATTTTTAGACTTTTAAGTGGATCGAAGATAAAAGGTATACTGGGATCTATAAACATTGATGAGTCAATGTTCAGGTTTCGCCTAAATGTGATAATATGACCAAGTACAAGTAAATGTGTACAACTTTGAGACGATTACGAAATTAAATAATGTTCTTTCCTAGATGTATCATCTTATTCAGAAACAAAACAAGGACAGGACGTCAACCGCCTGCACACCTGTCAGCTTCTGCAGCTGGTGGAAGAGCAGGTTAAAGGGGCCGGTGTAGGGAATGGCTTGGGTCTGCTTCACGGTGCTCATGGCCAAGTCGGTATAATCTGGAGTGGGAATTAGAAACACACACTTTAGAAAACAACACTCGTCCCACAGCACACAATTTGCAAACATACCAGGAGTCGAGAAAGGAGAAGGTAGAGAACACGAGTTTCAAGCCACAAGGTGCTCCTTCTGCCCGTCCTTGCTTCCCTCCACCGCCCTCCCGCCACCCCCGTAAGTTCAGGCTCCGGCATAAGGTAGCACCGGGTTCTCCTGGACACACCAGGTCCCTCACGTCTCCAGGCCAACAGACCAGCTGTCCTCCCACCTCCTGGGCGTGGCACCTCCTTTCCCAGCACCTGAGGCCCCTCCTTCCTCTCCTCTCGCACCTGCACAGGGCACTGGTCGGTGCTGTGACCAGCTCTGGGAAACATGCCCCTCTCCTCAGACAGCTTTCGAGGGCTGGGGCTGCTGCTGAGTAAACCTTCAGTCCCCCGCACCCAGCACAAGGCCTGGCACGGAGCGAGGACACGCTAACGCTGAATGAAGGGCACGGTGTGTCCCACCAGGCGGCGGCCTGAGCGCTGACCCCGCCCCCTCGCTCCTTCACCGAGCGCTTAGAACGACCTGCATCTGTTACATAAATAAAGCGATCAGTTGTTCGTCTGAATACCACAGACTGCGACAGTAACGATGGCGTAGCATTCACACAGGCACAGAACCGAAGGCCCAGCAAATAATGTAAAACTACAGGTCGTAAAAATTAAAACGCCCATGTGGGGAGTCCAGGATCACTTCAGAAAATAAAATGGTCAGCCCTCCACCTGTAGGTAGCAGGCAGCCTTGTCAAGTCAGCAGCAGTCACTCCGTCTTGGGGTAAACTCAGGTTTCCAATGAAGAAAAACATTATTTCACAAAGAATTTAAATGGCAACAGTTCAAGGAAGATTTTTTGTCTCCCATAAAGCTAACTAGATTAACTTTCACCGATTTCTATTTTATTATTTGGTTGTAATTTAAAAGGTGGCCACTAGGTAAGAGAAGTTTTCAGATTTTCTTTCAATGCTAAAATCAAATTATATTTGACATTTAACAGGATACTTACTGGAGAGGTCACAAGGAGAAAGTATGTGATAGTTAAAGTTTCTCTTAACAAGTATTCCCGAGACCCGCTGGCCTTGTTCCGGTTTCTTGTCTGCTAAAAAGCCCATGACCTTGGCCAGTTTCTCGCCTCTGAAGTTCAGGGTCACCGCCTCGGTGTTCCGCGGGTTATGCACCTCGATGTGGACTTCATCGTTATCCTCATACTCGCGGATCAGGGCCGCTTTCAGCCTGGCCATTTCGTTCTGCTCCCCGTGGACTAAAATCTGTGTGAAATACATTTGAGGGCACAGGGAAGCATCCTTAGTTCAGGTTACAATGGCCTTCATGTGAATCAGTTAAACGTATCAAATAGAGATAAACTTACTACTTATAAGGAACTCCAGTCAATTAAACTTAGACATTTTCATTCTGTTTGGCTTTAAAGGATCCTTATGTGGAACTATATCAAGAGCTAGTAAAGAAATTTCCTTTCTACTCCAGTTTTTGCCACTAACAAGATACACAATTTGCAGAAGCCAGACTTATGCTTGGCTCCCGTGCTCACGCTGGACCAGGTGACTTCAGCAGTTTCTACCAGCTTCAAATGCACAGGATACTTTCATGACACAATTGCTACTGCTGCTTCTCAGGAAATACCCATAGGTGGCCTGTGTAAGTGGGGAAACTAATGGACACAGCTTGCCTGCCTGGCGTGGCTCAGTGGTTTGAATGTCGATCGATGAACCAGGAGGTCACGGCTCAATTCCGGGTCAGGGCACATGCCCAGGTTGTGGGCTCAGTCCCCAGTAATGGGCATGCATATTAAAAAAAAACCACCCAAAACAAACAAACAAAGTGCACAGCTTGCTTAATTCAGAGGGGAGCTGAAAGGAGGGATCCAAGGGCAGCATCCTGTCTAAAGTGCTGCATTAACAGAAGGCGGGGTCTGATTGAGAACCAGCTGCTGGGAAGTGGGTTTGCTCCCTCCCCTACAATGAGCTGAATCAAATTATAGACTAACCACATGAGGCGGCTTCAAAGCACGGATAAATTCACTGGTCTGCTGGTAGTCTGTGTGAGCGGAGAAAGAGATGTAATCAACAGACATTTTCAGTGGCAGCTTCTGCCCAGACATGGTAGTGATCTCTTCAGGTTCAGACATGATGTGCTGTGAAAAACAAAGAAAAATACACAAAACAAAATAAACAATCCAATTAGAAAAGGCACATTTTCTACTTTTTTGTGCAGCCATAAACTCCTGCTAAATTTAGAACCTTCACAAAAATCATGCTAGTACCACTGACTTAGTAAATACCAAATACTGATTTTCTTCATCAAGCAAACATTTAATCAGAAAATTAAGTCGATTCACCGGAATTCAATGTAGCTGGAGTGCTGGGAGGGAAATTATAACTCTTAGGATTAGAAAGGCAAACCTGTATTCTCAACTGTTCTCTTGCTCTAGAAAGGAACTTTCCAATTAAGAGCATTTACATAAAAGTAGATGCATTTCTACTCTGAAAATCTTTTAAATACATAGCTAACACTGTCTAAATGACTCATAGAATAAGGTAAAGTAATAAAAATGATGAAGACAGAAAATTGTAATGTATTTTAGAATAAAACAGAAGTTACCAAGAAGAGGAGCTAAGGAACCATGATGCCTGGATGCTCAGAAACTGCCTCTGAAGTTCTGCACATGAGCGCCTGTATCCCTCAGAGTCAATCATTTTATATCCACAGGAAGACAGGCAATCGGCCCAAACCCCTTTTACAGCTTTGCAAGAGAACACTTGCCAGTAAAGCTCGTCCTCACCAGATGAGGGTGCCCATGTGTCCCCAACGGGTTCCTTTCCATTATTCTTACTGCGCCCCATGGGTGTGTCTTGAACTTCAATGTGCCTCCCTGCCCGGGGATCAGGTTATGCTGTTCAGCACCTGCATAAATTCTCAACCTCATGACCAGCTCCAGCTATTTCCGTCCTCATTTTAAAATATCAAAACCTGCCCGGCCGGGTGTGGCTCAGCAGCAGAGCATCGCATCGACCTAGGATCCAGGAGATCGAGGTTCGATTCCTGGTCAGGGCACATGCCCGGGTTGCGGGCTCCATCCCCAGCAGGGGGCGTGCAGGAGGCAGCCGATCAATGACTCTCTCATCATTGATGTTTCTCTCTCTCTCCCTCCCCCTTCCTCTCTCTGAAGTCAATAAAGATATTTTTTAAAAAAACTAAAATATCAAAACCTGTACTAGTTAAAAGACTCCTTCAGTGGAAAGCCTGGGAGGACATGGCCCCCCCTGCGGTTGTGATCAGGAAAGACAGTGGTGCAGGACCACAACGGACCTTGGCGAGCGTGCCCTCCACGCAGTACCCTGCGATGATGACGCCATTCCTCTTATCTGTGCACCAGCTCTCGAAGAGCTCCCTGGACAGGCCGCTCTGCATCATGCCCGGCGAGGCCATCACCACACTGGGACCGATGTCGTCAAAGTGATCCATGCTCTGGGGAGGAAGGAAGGGAAAGCACGTTAAATACCAGGGCTTGACAAAGCTTCCCTTATTCTTAATAAATAACAAAGAGCAAGGTAAAAAAAATCAATCACACAACTAAAAGGGTCTTGACGAGACCAGTGAACATTTAGCCCAATTTCCAAGTTCCGAAACAGTTCGGACCAGGAATAAAAAGAACACAAAGTGATGAAAAGCAGTTTGTTCTCATTGACCTTCACGACGTGTGCTGGAGCTGAAGGGCCCGGGGAACCACTTTCAGCAGCTAGCAGGAAGGTGGAACACGAGGGAAGAGTCAAATTGGCTTCGATCCACCCAAATGAGGTCTGAAAGACTCTCCCCAAAGGCTCACGATGGCTTTTCATACTCATAAACCTTTGGAGCTGGCCTAAAAGTCTAACCAAAAAAGTTAACTTGTTTCTGGGGAAAACTTGGCTCTAATTCCTAAGAAATTAACCTAAAATCCAACATTTCATGAACAGAGCGCATTTGTAACTGGAAGAACACTTATAATCTGAATGATTTAGGGCAATATTTTATTATGATTAAAGCATTAGTTTGAATGAAATAATATGTACATTTTAATTAAAGAAAACCAGATTTTATTGAATGCTCTAAAAAAGTAAACAGGAAAATTTTCATACATGGATTCACAGTGCCAATCATCAAAAAGGTGATTAGGTTCGAGTAAGCACAGAAAAATTTAATACATAACACAAGGTATTTTTCTTATCAGGCCTTTTTATTTCTATAACAAAAAGATCCAAATTATTTAGCAACAGTAAATATTGAGAATGTATGGGGACGTGGCGCAAGTGGCAAATACATTTAAGCAAAAAACAATGCCAGTTGCTCAACTTCCGATTTCATTCAGACAGTGCTGGCTGCTGAAGGCAGGGCTTCGGCGAGGACTCGGCCAGGATGAACGCCAGGCCCCGCTACCCCTGCTGACTTCTCTGTGCCGTAGCCACCCCCTCCCTTCTCCACAAGCACTCACCTTAAGGTTGCTGATGTGTTTGAAGACAAAGGGATTATTGATGTTGATCTGCTTTCGGATCTTGTCGTTCATGGCATTCACGTAGGTCTGGTACACGGCCATGCACTTCTTGGCCAGAGATGACGCGTAGTATATTGGAATATCGTGGAGCTCGGGGTGGTTCTGCCAGTACTCGTCTGAGAGATTTTATGAGACAAATGTCATTTTGTGATGTGGAGTGAGAAGTTCAAATGATAAGTGATACATATGATTAATTTTTAAAATTCAGACAATCAAGAAATAAAGCATATGACTAGATTTTAAAGATGTTATGGACAACTAACCTGGTCTTACTAATGTAAGATGCGATAGAACCTAGTTCTGCACATAAAGCTAAGATACTCAGGACTCTCATCGTTGCCTTTGCAAGAGCGCTTCCCCAAAAGAGCCACAGAATGCCTGGGTTTGAAGGATCGTTAAATACAAATACACCCTAAAAGGGGCACCCACTGCTCCTCCTGTTTCAAAAGTCACACACGCTCACTGAGGTGTTTGGAAAATGAAGAAAAGCAGAGACCGAGGGAGGAGCCCATTTCTCACCACCCAGAGTCAATCTTTCCAGGCTTTCGTGTAATTTCTACCTAACTAGGGCCAGAGCACATACTGTTTTGAATCCTACTTTTTTGGTCCACTTAACATACTATGTGAAAACATGTAATATGATTTTTTCCTATAATGTGGGATTTACTGACATATTTCTTTAAAAATACTAACATGACTATACCCTTGCTGACAGATTTTCTGTGCATCTCATTTATTTCCCAGAGGTGGAACTGGTGGGTCAAAAGGGCAGCATATTCAGGAGACTTCCGACGCCAACCAGAAAGTGCACCTTTCATGTCCCCAGGAGCCATGCACAACAGCCACTGTTCCTCTGGGCTCTATTGGCACCAAATCCCTACCTTTAAATGCAGAAACTGAAGCCCAGGAAGGCAGAATAACCTACTCGAGGCCAGGCCCTGCAAGGTTTTGGGACTCTTCCAAGTAGAAAGGGAAAAACATACCCAAAATCAGGAGCAGCTCCTGAGCCCTCCCGAGTGCAAAGACGGGAATGAGACCTCTGCCGCCTCTGTTTACAATATCGTGAACCGTGTTGCAGAACCGTGCCTCTCTCTCCTCACGCTTCTCGTGGATGTGGGTCCCGTAAGTAGATTCCTACAGGACACGTCAGAAGTGGGGTCAAGAGTGACAACCTCAAAGAATACAAAACCCAGACACCAATGAAAAGCAGAAGCGAAGCATCTCCTTTCTCCATCAACATGCTACTTGCTTGAACATGTGTTGTTACAAACCAGAAACAGACACTTTCTTACAGTTCTGGAAGAACATCCCCTAAGCCCCAGCCCAGACCTACTGAATTGGGATCTGTACATGAACAACACCGGGTGACACGTAAGCACACCCGTGTCTGAGAAGTACTTCTCTAAGTACCACGTCTAATGAAAATAAATTTTTTCAGAGGGTTAAAAAAATCACTTCCCTTAAATTAATATCAGTTTACATACTGGGTGTACCATGAGCTGAGCCAAACTGAATTTGCTCACACGCTGCCTACGGACAGCAGCACACACGGTCCCTTACGCCTGGGCAGGCGGGGATGCTGCAGGTGGTAGGAAACCAGCTCTTCGACCCTGAACCCAATGTGCCCGATGTTCTCATACACACCACAGGCCCCAAAGACCTCTCTCCCGATTCCTGCCCTCGCTGTCATTGTCACCGGTGCACATTTACTGATTTGCTCTTCAGCTCTCTCCCCCCAACCCCAGCTTCTGGACAGTTAATTTCTTTGGTTCTCCTGGGACTTACAACCCAGCAGACAGGACACACACATGTAAATGAGCAGGTGCTGGGGGCCAAACGACAGTCACCATGGCAAAGGCTGGCAGCCCCACCATTTCTGCACGACCTTTAAGAAGATCTGCGAGTTTAGGGTAATTCACCCAGACAAGAGTATTTAGGAGGTATCCCAGCAGCTGACTTTAGACTAGAGTTCATACATTTAACAGCAAGAAAGTGGAGCTTAACTACAAAGAGAGGTCAAAAAAATTAAATTTTAAACTAAAAGAAGATATGTTTATATCCAATAACATATTATAAAAATGAGATCACAGTAGTTTTCCACTAGAAAAGATTCTGCTTACAGATCCTGGTTACAGTCCAGGGCACCCATACTTACAATGATAAGAATATCAGGCTTAATGTTGGGAATCTCAGCTGCCATCAAGTGTCTGTCTTCCTGTCTTGAGAAGTCACCCGTATACAAAAGCTGTGAAAAGATAAAGCCAGGAAGTTAGGGTTTTGGAAGACTTCATTTTACTAGTAAACCTATTTAGCTCATAACATCTGAAAGTGAGGCTAAATAGAAAAAAAGCCTACAGCTAATGAACTTGAGGTGCCATCCTTGAGTCTAACTCAGTTTGGTCATAAACCATCCAGCGTTTCAATTAGTCAATCTAACTAACGGGATAACAACTCCCAGAATCATCCCACAGAGGCCTGTACTTCGGTGAACTCGAGCAGTGCCCCGAACGCCTCAGAGAAACACGTACAACGAGGAAAGGAGTCCGCCAAGGTATACGGGGAACCGTCTAAAACGGGAGAAGAAAATCACTGGAGGGTGTGTGTCCCATTTCACAAGAGAATTTATATCTGCGCTTGTGCTATTTTCTGCTTATTTTTTGTGCCTTTGAGCAAACAGTGAGAAGAAATGATTTAGAAATACACAGCACAACTCGATGTGCAAAAATGTCATGCTCTACGAGCAGCTGCTGAATGTTTAGGACAACACCACACTAGAACACTGCTTCTCGGCTCTGGCTGCACATAAAGACCACCTGGACCACACCCTCAGATTCTGACTCAATGGGCGTTTTTAAAAAGCTCCCTCAGTGAGTCTCACCTGCAGCCAGAGTTGAGAACGCTGCTCTAGCGCCAGTCTTGGCACCTGCTAGTCCACCCTGGTTTTCATGCGTTTATTGAGATGGCCATTGGTCTTCTCCATCAAGGATGGCTGCAAGGACCCTCTCTGAGCAGCCCTTCGCTCGCCAGGGGCTCCTATGGGGATGCCAGAACGTCGAGAGGACACAAATGGCAAGTGATGTTACGACGTCAAGTAGATGCAGCCGCACAAAGAGCTTCCCCGGCCGTTCCCCAAGGGACACTGAGGAGCTGACCCTCTGGTGCTGGGAGGGACCCTCACTCTCTGAGATGCTCATTTTATTCTCCCCTCAGTCTTCTTACAGAAAGTGCTACCCTGGGCTATGAACCCTGACACTAGTGCCGACTTGATTTTCTCTCATGCCCCAGTGCGCTGACTCTGCACGTCCTCGGGAACACTCTTTAGCAGCACTTGGTGGCACCAGCTCTGCACTGACTTCTCGTGGGGAGGAAGCTGCCGGAGCGAGTACCTTTACGCCGGCGATCTCAATCATGAACATGGCGGCCCCGAGGACGTGGCCGGCGTGATAGCACCAAAACTTGATTCCTGCAACCTCCTTCACCTCGTGAAAGTTGATGGTTTCGATTTTGTCCATGCTCTCCTCCAAGTCCGTCTCGGTGTACAGCATGTCGTCCGCTGATATGTTGCTAAATTTTTAGAGATGCCAACAAAAAGAATTAAGGGCAAGATTTTTAAAAAGTCTTCGAACTCAAAGAAACTGTGGATGATATACCCATGAAATCACCTCTTTAAATTACTTTATATGGATTATATTATCTAGAACGTCTTGGACATTTTGTGTATTTTTTGCTCTGCAGTTGTAATAAAATGTTTAGTGTGTACTACAAAGCCTAATTTTAAGCAAAGCACATAGTGAATTAAGGCAAAGTACTTTTTAGGACAGTGTTTCTCAACCTTTTTTCTATCCCAACACTCCTGAGACAAACTCACACACACTGAACCAAGAGAGGGATTCTGACACCGTGACGTGAAAAGATTTCTCTACAAAGTGTAGCCTAAGTTTTCTTCTGAAAATTATGCTAGTGTCCTTCCAAAACAGCAAGAGAGTGGTGGTCAAGGACACAGGCTCGAGACAACTGCTCGGGCCTCAAGCCCAGCTTCTCTTGTACTGTGACCGCTGTCGGTAAATTCCGAACCTCTCTGCCGCCTCACCCTCTGCAAAATGGGATTCACAGCAGGACCTATGTGGTGAGGTTCATTCGAAGGTTAAGTGAGTTAACCGTGCTGAGAACTGAGGACTGTGCCTGCCTGTGGAAAGCAGCATTTAAGTGTTAACTAGCATATGTATTACCAAAGACAGCTCTTCCACTCTGTTGTGTTTACATATGAAGACCAACAAATGGCATCTTAGCAACCCTGCAATATACACATTAAGCAGCAAACTTTTGAAGGCTAATAATTGGTGCTATAGGTTTCACAAAAATGCCCCAAACTTTCTGATAACAGAGAAGGTTTTCCTCTTGCAACTGGAAAAAACTTCCACAGGGAACTTTTTCATTTAAGATACTCAATTTGCTTTGATCAGATAATCTGAAATAAGATTTCAGTATATATCTCTGTATAATGTATTTGGTGTTAACATTCACAGAACATTGTTATACCTTATAACTCACCTAAATTACAGATTTAGAAGAATGTTAAAACTACATAAAGACTTTAAGGCCAGAAGGTGCTGGGTACACAATGGGTATTTGATGGGTTGTTACCGAAAGACTAACAGCATCCTTGTGAATAAAGTGTCTCATTCCAAAAACCAGAATGGTCCATATTTGAACCATATGTATTATACAGAATCTAATAAAGCACTTACCTGACTTTGACGTAATCTGAAAGAAGCCACCTGTAAATAGCTTTAGTAGCATGAGTCATAAATGTTCTTCCTTTGAAACTTGTCTTCTGTAGAAACCAGGGAAGGGCTCCACAGTGATCCAGGTGGAAACTTCAAAACAAAACAAAACAAAGAGATCCTGTGAATTCTTGAAGTATCAATCCATCACACATATGAAACAAAACTGTTGCTGACTGCACAGAAAAGCTCCATGTAACAATCACATCCTAAGACTTTCAGAACTCCTGGGGGGAGGTGTGTGCAGAGGGAGAAACGATGCAGCCAGTCGTGGTGCAAGAAAAAGATAATGAAAGTATTTATAAACATCAAAATACTGTATCAGTGACAATTAGAGATGGGAGGACATGCCCAAATCTCCTCTTGGCAGCCGATTTATAACAAGCACTGCAGGGGTATAAAGCCCAAACAATGCTGTTTATAAATGAAGTTCCTACAGAATGTGACAAGAGTGACCTTGAGGGGTATCTGGGAAAGGGCTTTCATGGTCTCCAGTTTTATAATGATCCAAGGCACACGCTGTCTCTTCCTCACTTCCTCCAGGACAGGAAAATAACTTTTTCACAGTAAATTTCTTTAACCTGGGATGACAATATTAAGTGCTGTCTAGACTCAGATGTCTGCTATATGCTTCCCAGTAGAAAATACTTTTAAATGCCAGTATCTGCTCAAGAATGATTTTTACTGTAAAAGTCTATGAAAAACAGTGTTGTTAATAAAGAAAAAAAACGTACTGACTAATGAGCAGGAGATCAATCTCAGCTGGGTCAATTAAATCGATATAAGGAAGAGCGTCCATTCCTTCTAGGCCAGGGTGGATCCCACAGTCCAACTGAAAGAGATGGACAGAGAGATCACAATCACTTCTACATTTTATTAGCATTCACTCCCATATCATAACTGATCCATCACACACAAAATCGAGATGACTCTACACACCAGCATTTGGAACGTAATTCTTACTAAATGTGGGAAACACGCTATTAGCAATTCCAACTTCCCAAACGAATTTAAAATATAGGTCACATTTATGGTCACAGGACACAAAGTACAAGACTTCCTCTTTCCAACTAGCTTTTGTAGTCACCCCAACAGTGAATAAACTCTTTTTCAAGAACTGTGACATCAGAAGATGGCGGGCATTTTAAATGTTTACAGATTTACCACCAGATCTGATTGTTGGGAGAAGATGATGATTAGAAACAGGAAACTTTCCTGAACAGGGCAATGTAAGTATTTCAAGGTATTTGTGAACAAGTTCTTAAGGGTCGGTCATGCCTGAGTTACACACGCACTCTGCTGCCCTGGGCCTGAATGCTAACTTAGGTGTGGAAGCTGTCAGACCAGGCTCCAGCATCACAGGAGCATGGGCGACACTGGAGCTCTGCCCGTGTTCCTGGGGGGGGGGGGCAGTCAGGATGGCGACACCCTCTGTCGGTGGAAGAGGGGCTTTGCAGAAGCAATAGTCCAGGAGAGCTGGTTGACAATTTTACATCGTAGACTATTATTTTCTCAGTTTTCTTAATGTTTTGTCAAATTGCTACGCAGAAGCGTGTATTAGCTTTGCGCATTAACGTTTTACAGCATAGACTACTTATACCAACTAAGACCTTTTTCTGGGAGCTAAACAGGTAACTACGGTGCTACAAAAAAGACCTAACACCCAGTGCTGACAGAGCAGCACTGTTTACCCGACCACAGAATAATAATTACCATTATTTTTCTTCCTTTGAACTCCAGAATAATACATGATCTTCCTACTTCTTGCCCAGCTCCACTGTAGACATTCAAGGGGAAAAATAAAAACAATAAAAATCAAGCCCAATGAATTCCAAGTTTTTCACAACTTACAGTGTCCCATCTGACGACAGCACTCGAGGCAGACAGAGTTCCACAGAGTTACAAAGAGAGAGGAGAGTGTCCCTGTGGGGAGAGCCCATCAGCAGCCCTGGGGAGAGCAGGGATCCTGCAGCTGTTCAAACTGTGCGAGAAGGTGGAACAGACCCGAGAAGCCGAAAGGCTGAATTTTACCCCAAATGTTAGGGTTAAACTATCACGTATTGAAAACGTGGCTAGCAGTAACGCAGATTACTCAATAATACTTTTTAAAGCCGCACTTGAAGTATAAACCTATAATCACTTCAAAATTCTTTCAAGATTGTAGCAGGCACCACATAGGTCAAGCTGAAATAACCTTACACCTATGACTCAGTCTTTCCTTTCACCTTCTGACTTCAGTACATTTGATGCTATTACAAAACAAGTCCCCAAAACACACTCCAGACCCACCCACCTCCTCTGCTCTTGGGGTGAACCAGCAGCAAACCAGCAGCGCGGCCACTCAGCAGGCGCCGCCGGGACACGGTCGTCCCGGTCCTGGTCCCGCCGCCTCCGCCCCTCCCCAGGACGGCGCCTCGGGCGCGAGGCTCCGAAGACGCCACCTCCGTACTCTCTGCTCTTTCTTTCCAACGCGCTGCTGCTGGGCCCACTCCTTCCGAGCTCCCACAGCTTCGCACCTGGACCGTCGCGATCCCACCGGCTCCGCGCCCAGCCCGCCCTTCCCTGCGCCCCCCACACCGCGGCCAGGGGCGCCCTCCGACGAGGCCTCCCCGGGGCCCCACGCGCCTCCATCTCCTGCTGGCTGCCCGGAGGCCAGGCTCCTGGATGTGTCCGCAGGTCATCGGGGAGCCGGGCCCGGCGGCCTCTCCCATCCGCCGCTCATCTTCCACCCGCGGCCTCGGGGGAGGCGGCCCCGAACGGCGCCCCTCGTTCTCCCGGGGCCACCAAGAGCGTCTCCCCATCTTTAGCCTCTACTCGTCCTTGAAGACTCGGCGCGCACGGCTTCCCCAGGAGGCCCGAGGCCTCGCTCCCCCGGCGGCTAGAAGCCCCTTCCGTGCGCTCGGCACCCGCGCGGCGCCTCCCGCGGTCACAGCTCCTTAGCCGCCCCGAGCGGTGCCCGCGCCTCGGGAACAGGCGCGAAGATCCTG